GTCGCGCAACATATAGAAAATCATGTTTCAAAACCACCATGCTCACCTGGAATTCCTTTGACTGTACAAGCTTTGCTTAGTCTTTATGATGATTTTAAATTAGATTTTTCAAATTTTGAGTTAGCAACAGACCTTTGCAATAACGATTCGGTCGAACATATCAATGCAAAAGTACGTGGAAGAGGTGGATTTAATGCACCTGTAAAATGCATCGATTGCTAATCGATTTACATTCGAAAGAAAGGAAACGTTTTGACAGGATTCGCGTCCTTTAGTAAAACAAGTAGTGAAGATATTTGTTACTTGGAAAATCCAGCAAAAAATAGCCCACGACTTAGATTTACTTGAGGACGGATCAAAGGAATTGATGGGCATTCAGGAAATCATTCAAGCTGCTGATTCAAAGAATTTGTATATTAACGTAGATTCCAGTGGGAAGCCTGCAATGGCGCTATGTTTGAATCAAATGCGATAACTTTCTTTGCTGGTTATATAGCTAAAAAATGTTTAAGTAAATGTTCCTGTCTCCAATGTAAAAAGGTTTTGATAAAAGATATCAACTCGGCTTTTGAATCTCAATCCATTGATTTTTTAAGTTGATGCACTAATTCGTTTGAAACATTTTTGGGCTCTATAAAATCTTGTAGCATTCATAGTTTTTGGGCCAAAAAATGATTTTTGTTTTCTTGCTATTTATCAATTTCAGACATTAACTGCAACAGTCGTAGTGATAATGGGTTTTTATAATAAATTAACTGTCAAGCGTTTTATATTTTTTAACTGACCGAAATGGTCAGAGTTTTAGGCCCGGTCGTCTTTTGGAAGTGGGTTCGTCCAAATTGCGATCATAAAAAATCTCACGAAAAGAAAAAGCGAGTTTTTAACAAAATTTGGCCCTGACGAATGTTTTGTTAATGAAAAACTTGAAAAAATGAATGTCTAAAATTTTCAGTTGCCAAGAGAACAGAAATCACTTTTTTGCGCAAAAACTATAACTGGTTCAAAATGTTATAAAGAGGACAAAAATATTAAAAGAGTATTTGAACTATAAAATGTAAATGGTATTTGTTCGCAGGTTCGCAGTGTTTCTGACTGAATAACGAAAATTTTTGTGACACACCAAATTGATATAGATGTTGAAAAACTAATAAGTCTTATATATGAAAGAAAGTCGTTGTGGGATATCAGCGAAAAATGATGGAATTTTCCAAATTATTTTCGTTCATAGCAACGTTATCATCAATCCTTATCAGCAAGCCAATAGTTTTTTTTCTTTTTAGCTTTAATTGAATTCTGGCGAGATAACTATTTTCCAAAAGAAAATCATCCATTATTATTAACAGTTGTATAGTTACGATGAATAAATTACCGCGAATAAATGTGCTTATTTGACACAACATTCACAATTTGTGC